TTCAAAATCATATCCAGTTGCTTGAGCAACTGTTTTTTGGCGTAGATATAACAACATTTTATCTCCTAATTGTGGGGTAAAATTGCTGAGAACATAACAATTACTAGTAAATGCAACTTCTGACACAACATGTACACTTGCCACGTGCTGACACGAGCGATGATTGACAGCTCAGTCAGACGGTCAGCCGCCGTCATTTTTCAACATTTTCTCGATAAATTCTGAGGAAAAATATCTAAAATCACCACTATTAGATGTCACAACATTTTGTCTGGTGATTCTGAGGTAAACATGAGGGGAGAAATTAATTTACCTTGAAATTTTGACCAACGATATACATGTGGCTACTTCTAGCAGGTACACGGGACACGCGCCTGTTTTCCCGCCTTTTTTCTCAATATTTCCTCTATAAAACCTGCTAAAACCGACCTAAAAGTGATGCTACTAGATGTCACAACATCTTATCTAATGATTCTGAGATAAATATCGGGTAGAAAATCAAATTGTCTCGAAATCATGACGGACGATATTGCCAGCTGCGAGCGCCGTGCAAGGTAGTGCCAACACACGGGACCCCCGCCCATTTTTCCGGGGCTCCATTACGTACGGAAGACCGCTACTCAACATTTTAAGACATATCGTCGATAAAACCTGCTAAAACCGACGTGATGCTACTAGATGTCACAACATGTTATCTAATGATTCTGAGGTAAATATCGGGTGGAAAATCAAATTGTCTCGAAATTTTGACGGACGCAAGTGCGCCGCACAATGCTTTGCCAACACACGGGGCAACGCGCCCGTTTCGCCGGGACACCTCCTACGTGAGACCACTACTCAACATTTCTCAACATTTTCCCGATAAAATCTGCTAAAACTAAGCTGAAAGTGATACTACTAGATGTCACAACATTTTATCTGAAGATTCTGAGGTAAACATTCGGTGGAAAATTAATTCTTCTTCGAATTTTGACAGACAATATCTAACTCATTTTAGCGGTATGCAACTATATACTAGGAACCCGGGCTTTCGTTTCAAAGATTTCTGACAGGAAATGTGAAGAAATACAGAGAAAAGTTCCACCTTCACGATGCTTTGACCGCAATAAACAACGTCTTTGTAAAATAAGTACCATTTCATGAAAATCAAATTTCTGACAGAAAAATTTAGACATTCCTGTCACTGAGTAAGCAATTCTAAACCTGAAGTTGACGCCAAATTTCCTGTCAGAAATGTCTTAAAAATAAGCCAAAATATGCCAGGACACACAACAGATTGCTGTATGTACTCTATACCAGGTAATACATGGGTAAACCATGAAATTCTACGGCAGAAAATTATAGATTCTTACCTCAATTCTGCGGCACGGCTAGCGGCGGCTGTCACCTCCGGAATGTGAAGTTTTTCTGGCGGGAACTTTTCTGGGATTGGTGCGTCGGAATTTGGACTATTACATTTTGCTATTGAGGTGAAATCAAATAGGCAATATTTTTACGTTCTTATCATTTGGCGGTATTTTCAGAATATTTGACTTCAAATACATACAAAACGTATATATTATTACATACTTCGGAGATATTCTTTTCATATCTTTGTCGGTCAAGAATAGAAAAAGGAAAGGAGAAACAGTACACCCCCACCCGGCAGTCTGTTAATGTTTTAGCATTATGGCCTGTTCTATTTTTCGTTGGTGTGGGGTGAGAAGATGTTTTAAAACTATTTAGAACAGAGCATTTTATGGACACTTTAAAAACAATCGTCGTCTGTTCCGGCCCATTTGTTCCCGGACCTCTGATGACCACGTTACAGTTCATTTCGTGTCGGTAGAGTGAATCCATCCATCCATCCACCCTGTCCACCCCCAGTTAAGAATGGTCGGTCTCCCGCCACTCTAAGAAAGGGGGACGCTCCATTTCGAGGCAACAGGGGCGCAAACCCACTGTCGGGGACGGTTCAGTAACTATCTGGGGGATCTTTTAAAGCCCGGTTCTGCAAATTGCCGCCCTCTACTTGTATGGTCACAAGTAATCAGTAATAATTACCTTCGCCAAGAAGGTTATGTTTTCAGGGGCGTTCGTGTGTGTGTGTGTGTGTGTGTCTGTCTGTCTGTCTGTAAACACGATAACTTGAGAAGGCCTTGATGGATTGTCTTCATACTTGGTATGTGGGTAGGTCTTGATGAGACCTCAAAATGATTAGATTTTGGACCCCCTAGCGGCTTGTTATAGTTCTGCAGCTGAACTTCCGGTTTTGATATCTCATGATGTAGACATGCTATGGTGATAAAATTTAGATGGTAGGTAGCTCTTGTGCTGGGAAAGAAGTGACGTGAGTTTAGGCCCCCTAGCGGCTTGCTCTGGAACTGCAGGGATAAATTCTTGAAAATATTCAACAGGGGATAATTCAAGAACCGATTGACGGATCGTCGTGATTTTTGGTATGTAGGTAGCTTACATGATGCTTAATATAATAATGTGACAATTATGCAAATATGGATGTAATTTGCATAATTTATGGGGAAATTCTACAAATCAGCTGTATTACATTATAGGACGATTGAAGCTTGTGACATTGGTAATTGACAACGAGAGAAACACAGGAAGATGTTGATTATGTTAATAATGACTTAATTTGCATAATTAATGAGAAAATTTTATAATTATGTAATGATAACTGCCTGGAATTTCATACTTGTGGTATTTGAAAGTTAAATTGAGGTGAACATCATTAAACATAATTTATTCAAATCAGGACCTCATTTGCATAATTGTTTATTAGGAAACGCTAGAATGCATTCTTTGTTAATATAAGACTGTCTTCTGGTTGAGATTATGATAAAATGATATAATTCATGAAAATTAGGTTCCTATTTCTTAAATCAGGGGGGAATAATCTATTCTAAACTTTGTCATAAAGATTAACATCATTTGGCGAAGGTATGAGATCGGGGAACTCTAGTTTTTATTATAATTCCAATGACGTCAGCGGTCCCTGATGTAATTGTGTGCTGTAAATATTGGATGATGAATATTTTGCAAACTTTTCTGCTAAGTTTTGGTAACTATATTTTAATAAGTTATATGTAGTGAATGTTTTTGTTATAGCATTGACCATACAAAATAAATGAAGTCACTAGTCAAAGTCACTAGGCCGTTTTAGACTTCATAATTCGTAGGCAGCCTCCGCAAAAATCAACGTAATTCATAATTGGGCATTAGCCGCAAATCGTAAAGTCGTAATCAGCTCTCTGACTTTCATGTAATTCGTAATAGGCGGCAAAAATTTTGCATAATTCGTAATCACTGCCCCCCCTTGCAGGCCCTCCTTAAGTTCCCAGCTCAGTGCTACTGTAGTTACCAGCTCCATGCTACTGTAGTTCCCAGCTCAATGCTACTGTAGTTCCCAGCTCAATGCTACTGTAGTTCCCAGCTCAGTGCTACTGTAGTTCCCAGCTCAATGCTACTGTAGTTCCCAGCTCAATGCTACTGTAGTTCCCAGCTCAATGCTACTGTAGTTGAGCTCAGCTGAAACAGCTGACTCAGCGTTTTTACGGCGCGCGATGAAGTTACTATGCACGAGCTGATCTTCGCAGCTTCTGTGATTTTATACATCTCTGATACATTGATCTTATCCAATAAGCCGTGATCACTGTTTATTATATTCTGAAGGATTTTTATCAATTGAAATATGATTATACATGTCCATCTTAGCACATTCCTGTGTAATTGAGTGTAACATCACTTGTGAACATTGACATGCCATGTCATGTTGTAGTACTGTAGCATTGTTACATGGCAGGCAATCTAATAAAACTGGAACTGAAACTCTGACATCCAATTTCTTGTCTCTTTGTTCCGTATTATATTTCAGTATGAATGTTTGGGGTTTGGCAGGTATGAACCAGAAAGAGGAGTTTTCTCCCTGTGACTGTGGGAGAGGAGATGCCCATACACTAGTACTCCTAGTGTGAAATACATGTAGCTGCATCTCTGATGTTATTTTGGATATCGGCAGAGCAAAGGCCTTGACCTTTGACACTGGGCATGGCTTTTTTTGTGAACCTTTGAATTCTGAAGGTCAGGTGAAGGTCAGGTGACATTTAGGAGGAGGCTAGTTATTAGATTCTCACGCGATTTTATCTGAAAAGTTAGAAACAAAGTTACGGTCACATGACCTGCCTTGGAAGGGGTTACCCATCCTAAAGCGGCCATTTTTATTATGCAAGGTGTAAAAAGTGGTGTTCAGACTTAAAATAAAACAATTTTACACACGCCCCAGCCAGCTTGTGGTGGGATAAAATGGCTGAACTCCCAGCCAGTTTGCAGTAAAGTGCCCGACATTGTTGTCAGAACAATTTTCTATAAAGAAAGCATCAGCTTCCAACTAAAATGTAACTTGAGTTTGTTAGAAAACTGCTTTCATGTTGTCTGCATGAACCCAAGCCGTGATACTGATACAGTCTTTCATACGACCAGCACCTTAGAATGTACTGCAGCAAGGCCTCTGTGCCTTCCAGTAGAACTCACAACAAACACAACCAGTCTAAACGTTAGAAAACATGCAAAAACACCTGCTGCTTCAGTCATATCAAGTTGGAATCATTAAAACCGGAGCCTTTAAAACCTGAAGAAGTCTGTTTGCGAGAAGCCCAGGGCCTTTAGAACCTGAAGAAGTCTGTTTGCGAGAAGCCCAGAGCCTTTAGAACCTGAAGAAGTCTGTTTGCGAGAAGCCCAGGGCCTTTAGAACCTGAAGAAGTCTGTTTGAGAGAAGCCCAGGGCCTTTAGAACCTGAAGAAGTCTGTTTGCGAGAAGCCCAGGGCCTTTAGAACCTGAAGAAGTCTGTTTGCGAGAAGCCCAGGGCCTGTAAGTTTGCCTCCATGTCAGAGTTAAAGGATCGGGTTCCGCAGATCAGCACCAGCACAGAACTTCCAGGGGGAGGCAGCTCGGCAGACAGAACGGCCCGGTCCAGCCGGCCGTGGTGGATCTCATCTCCATATTTGGGCTGGAAGTTTTTTGGATTCTCCTGCACAAAATTAGAGCAATAATTTAATAAGCTTATGGAAAACTAAAGAGACAGTCACAGCAATAAAATCACAGCCATAATGTTTCTTACTTTTGAGATCTTAGTGTGGTTTCTCCCCACTTCAAACCTATCTAGTGGAATCTGAAAGGTATTCATTTTGACCGGAATACTGCTCATTTCCACTGATGAACTCATTTGCATATTCGTGACTGTACAAATGCACCCTCACCTGACTGAGCCAATAGGAGGCAGAGAAGTTCCAGAAAGCCGCCATCTCGTCCAGAGAGTTTTTCAGCAGAATGTCTCGGTAGCGTCTGCAGGCGTACAGTAGCCTCACCCGCGTCTCATCCAACTCGTTACCAAGGATACGACCTGCGACCTGCAGCATCGGCGTGACCCCCGTTCCCGCGGCAACCATCACCACCTGCCGGTACTGTGGGGAGGTGAAAGGTCAGCAGTCACAGCTTACATGGAAGTGAACGTTTCTCATGCCAACCTGACAAAGGTCAAATAAAAAAACTACAAGCTGCAGCCCTGTTCTTAGTACCAGGTTGGACCTGAGGTTTTCTCACCTGGTTTGGTCAGTAGGTGCAAGAAGAACCGAGGTTTTCTCACCTGGTTTGGTCGGCAGGTGCAGTTAGAACTGAGGTTTTCTCACCTGGTTTGGTCGGCAGGTGCAGTTAGAACTGAGGTTTTCTCACCTGGTTTGGTCGGCAGGTGCAGTTAGAACTGAGGTTTTCTCACCTGGTTTGGTCGGCAGGTGCAGTTAGAACTGAGGTTTTCTCACCTGGTTTGGTCGGTAGGTGCAGTTAGAACTGAGGTTTTCTCACCTGGTTTGGTCGGTAGGTGCAGTTATAACTGGGGTTTTCTCACCTGGTTTGGTCGGTAGGTGCAGGTAGAACTGAGGTTTTCTCACCTGGTTTGGTCGGTAGGTGCAGAGTTTTTCTCACCTGGTTTGGTCGGTAGGTGAAGGTTCCGAAGGGCCCTCTCCACTCCACCAGGTCTCCCACCTGCCAGGTGCGCACGTACCTGGACATCTCACCTGCCGCATACACCTGAGAGACAGGAGATAACAGAACATCAGAATAGAACTGAAAGTACAACAGTCATCTAAGTGCATTACCAAACATCAGACGTAATCAGCTTACTCATCATACAGGCAGTCACATTGATCACATGACGTCACATTGATCACATGACCTGCTCACATTGATCACATGACCAGCTCACATTGATCACATGACCATTGATCACATGACCATTGATCACATGACCATTGATCACATGACCAGCTCAGCTTGATCACATGACCAGCTCAGGCTTGATCACATGACCTGCTCACCTTGATCAGAACCTCGAAGTAACCTTTGGCCTCCAGGGGGCTGATGGGAGTGTACTGTCGGGTCACCGACCTGCCGGACACTCGACCCCCTGAGGAATCAACAGAAAGTCAGGTTAGAACCTGTTGGTTATGATGATGATGTGCTGTACCTTAAGATGATGTGCTGTATCTTAAGGTGAGGTGCTGTACCTTAAGGTGATATGCTGTACCTTAAGATGATGTGCTATACCTTAAGGTGATGTGCTGTACCTTAAGGTGATGTGCTGTACCTTAAGGTGAGGTGCTGTACCTTAAGGTGAGGTGCTGTACCTTAAGATGATGTGCTATACCTTAAGATGAGGTGCTATACCTTAAGATTACGTGCTGTACCTTAAGATGAGGTGCTGTACCTTAAGATGAGATGCTGTACCTTACGATGAGGTGCTGTCCTGTGGTTAATCCAAGATGGCCGTTCCCAGGGATTTGGAACCTGTACACATTTGTCTCAGAGGTCATGTCAAAGGTCAGCTGCTGGATGTTCTCCAACTTGAAGGTCGTGTAGTTGTCTGGACTCAGCGCCGGCCCGTCCTATAAACAATCAATCAATAATTAATAAACATTCAATTAAAAATCAATGATAATCAATGTCATGAAACAGGAGTGTCCAAAGGGCCACAATAGCAGAGTAAGACATATGTTCAGGCTTCTCATGTGTCAGAGGAATTAGGAGAAAGAGACCTTCCAAACTGTCATTTCAGCTGAATCTATGTCCAAATACTAATATCTAAAAGTTAAGTTTTACAGAATAAGTACCCTTTAGTGTCAGGGTAGCCAGAAAACAGATTTTGGAGCTTGTGACCCACCGTCCGACGATCGTTGCTTTCCTGTGAAGCTGATTTCCCTTCCCGGCGAGTTCTGCACTCCTCCTGCCACAGCCTCAGCTCCTGGTCATAGATGTCATAAACACACGGGTCACACCCCCCTCCGCAGCAGTCACTGGGCAGGGGGGGGTCCGGGGGGTCACACCCCCCTCCGCAGCAGTCACTGGGCAGGGGGGGGTCCGGGGGTCACACCCCCCTCCGCAGCAGTCACTGGGCAGGGGGGGTCCGGGGCTGCCGGCCAATCACAGCCGGCTTCTGCAGTCACATGACTCCGCTCTGTGGCTGCCGGCCAATCACAGCCAGCTTCTGCAGTCACATGACTCCGCTCCAGGGCTGCCGGCCAATCACAGCCAGCTTCTGCAGTCACATGACTCCGCTCCGGGGCTGCCTGCCAATCACAGCCAGCTTCTGCAGTCACATGACTCCGCTCCAGGGCTGCCGGCCAATCACAGCCAGCTTCTGCAGTCACATGACTCCGCTCTGTGGCTGCCGGCCAATCACAGCCGGCTTCTGCAGTCACATGACTCCGCTCTAGGGCTGCCAGCCAATCACAGCCGGCTTCTGCAGTCACATGACAGTTGCTAGGAGAAGCAGTTTGAGTGGCAGTTGGAGGCGGGTCTGAGTTCTCCATCTAACGACAGCCGTCCTCCCAAATGTTCTCCACCTCCAAATTCCCACAGTACAGAAATCCTCGCACAGCCTCAGGCTGGACTTGATGTTTGTACTGGTACAAATTTACATATAAAGTACTTTATATAAAACATCTTTCAATTTTGGACATTGGCTTTACAAACAGTGAACTGAAAGAACATTTAATTTCTTGTAAAATTCTAAAATTTTGCTCACTCCTGGAATGCCTCAAATGTTTTATAAAAGACCTTTTGAAAACTTTGAGTATGATATAAAACAAAATCCTTCAAACACCCCAAGTCCCCATAATGTTTCCTATACAGTCGGACATTGTAAGCCCATCGGCGATCTTCCAAAATTGCCCCATCCTATAAAAACCTGAAGAAGGTAACACTAGTAACAGGCTACAAACAGCCCTGTTAAAATAAATAAACTTGAAACTTGTTGAGTCAGCAGTTCTGAGAGTTTTGTACAGGCACAGTTTGAGCAGAGTTCTGGACAGGCCTGGTGTGCGGTTGGGATTTCTCGTGCGGCACTGTGTCAGCAGTCCTGAGAGTTTTGGACGGGCACGGTGTGAGAATTGTTCTGGACAGGCCTGGGCAGGGATTTCTCATGCGGCAGTATGTGAGCAGAGTTTTGTACAGGCACGGTTTGAGCAGAGTTCTGGACAGGCCTGGTGTGAGGTTGGGATTTCTCGTGCGGCATTCCCAGCATCAGGCAGGTCCACCACGAGAAGCCGTCCTCCACAGCACACTTGGTGCCTGTTTGGTTGGATGTCGCAGAATCACACTTTCTCTTCCTGGGGTTGTCTGAAACAGGAAAAGGACAGGAGTAACAACGACTATCATGCACAACTCCTTCTATCTACTAATAAATTGTTGTCAAATTGCAAAGATGAAGAAATGTTTTACAGGCAGTGTACAGTGAAATAATTTTATTCATTTCACTTTTCTGATCCTGTGAAATCTTTTGCGCCTTGAGACACCGTTTTTCGTCCAACACAACAGAGTGTTCTCACCAAGACCTTTCGACCAGAACGTTCTTCACAAATTATGTAACAGAAGACTGGAAGTGGAATGCTAGCCTGGGTGCCAAACCCATAGCACAGTACTCTCAGTGTGCCTTGGTCTGGTAGGGTCAGATAGACAAACAGGAAAGTCTTGGGTGTACACTACTTCTACTGTTAAACTAAGTTCTGCTGTTATTTTGAAAAATAAACTCCAAATACATTTAGAAAATTGACTGGTTAATGATTAACTGTTGAGCCCAAGATTGTCTCCTGCTGACCAATGGTGATACCATGTAACAGGCTACCTGTGGTGTGAGGGGTCATCAATCACAGCTTCTCCTCCCTATGCCCGACAACCTTTCCCAAGGGATCCTACCAGACCGGTGCTCACTGAGATATTTTGCCCAGTGTGCTACCGGTCTGGCACCCAGGCTATTGGAATGCAGGAAAACGAGTTATAACAAATATTCGATCTTCCTACCTGGGCGAAACTATCTACTACTCTACTCCTTTTCTACTCTAATCAAATATACGACAGAAACTCCGATCAAAGTTACTGAAAGTTTGAAACGCTGGTCCCGGCCACTGTGCGGTAGAGTAGAGTAGAGTAGAGTCGGGTAACCTATACTATAGCACCAGTGTGCCCAGTCGGATATAACTCATACCAGCCCCTCAGTCCCACCTACAAGTATCACCAGTCAGTCCCAGATACTCACTGGTCTGTTGGCACCTTCCGTTGCTGTCAGCCATCGCCAATCCGCTCCGAACTTAGCCGGAAAATCCTACGAACTTGCCTGCAAAACTTACAATGGCCGCCATTTTGTTGTAAATATTTATCTCGGAATATACCAAATACAAGCAGGGGGGCATAGGTTTTTCAACTTCTTCACATGGCAAAACTGTCGCTTTATATACCAGATTCAAATGCATGCAAATAACAGTAAAATATTACTTTATACCTATTTAAGTCAATATTGGTAGCTAACAGGCATCTACTTATAGGTTATCCCTAAGCTATAGTTTTGTAATATTCTGAGGTCAAAGGTCACCGTACATTTTTGGAGTGGAGAACACCCGGAAGGTGGAACCGCACAGTTTCCCTGGCTTCAAACATCTCTGAAGCGGCATCAGCTGGCCGCTACGTTATACTGCGGGGTTCCTTAGAGCTTCTACTGCTTCCGACATCGCCAAGACGACATCAGAACGTCGCTACTTACGTGTAGATCGGTTCTCAAGACCTCCTAGCCTCCAACACCGCCCAGATGGTCGGTACTTTATACTGCGTGATCCCCTGCTGCCTGTAGGTCCGATCTCTGCTGTCCCGGCGGGGATACAATCTGATTGACTTCGGTTCGATGCTGAGGCCACCATGTCCGGTCAGGATTATCTGAACGACTGGGGTTTGTACAGGTCAGACTCAGATGAGGGGGAGGATCTCGAGTGGGCCCGTTTGGACGGGGTTTACCCTGAAGACTGGAGCCCGGACGGCGAGAACTCGGATTCCGGGTCGAACGTGAGTCTGTACGAGCTGGAGGAGGCGGCTAACTACGGCTGGGCGGATTACGTGGAGGAGACGGGGCTGTCGCTGCGGCCGGAGGTGCGGGACCCGTCCCGGCTGCGGGACAGCGAGTTCCGGCAGGTGTGTCTGCGGCGCCTGGGGCGGGTCGGGCACCGGTACGGGGCGGGCGGGACGGTCCCGCGGCTGGTGTCCCGCCGGGAGCGCGGCCTGTGCGCGCACGGCGGCGGCTTCTCGGCAGGACACCGCGCCGCTGTCGGCTCCCGGTTCATCCCCAGCGTGCCCAGTGTGCAGACCAGGTACGGGTACAAGGCGTTCTGCGGGCAGTACAGCCGGGACGGCCAGGTGTACCTGACGGCGTGCCAGGACCAGCGCATCCGCGTGTACGACACGCGCCGCGGCGGATTCCGCCTCACCAGGACCATCCGCGCGCCCAACATCGAGTGGAGCATCCTGGACACGGCGCTGAGCTCGGACGGGCGGTACGTGGTGTACTCGGGCTGGGCGGACAGCATCTACGTGTGCGAGGTGGGGAAACAGGAGGGCGGCGTGACCCAGCTGCCCTTCTCTCACGACGGCTTCGCCTCATGCGTCTTCTCGCTCACCTTCTCGCACGACGACAGCGAGATCATGGGCGCGGCGAACGACGGCTGCCTGTACGTGTTTGACCGGTGCCGCGCGGAGCGCACGCTCTGCATCCACGCCCACAGTAACGACGCCAACGCTGTGACGTTCGCGGACGCGTCGTCGCAGATCCTGTTCTCTGGCGGGGACGACGGGCTGCTGAAGGTGTGGGACCGGCGCGCGCTCAGCGAGGAGAGCCCGCGGGAGGTCGGCGTGCTGCTGGGGCATCTGGACGGCGTCACGCACATCCACTCACGCGGGGACAACCGCTTCCTCATCTCCAACTCCAAGGACCAGACCATCAAGCTGTGGGACATCCGGAGCCTCTCGCCCGCCGCCAGTGTGAAGCCGTCCCTGAGCAGGCTGCGCGGTTTGCGGCGATGGGACTACCGCTGGCAGCGCGCGCCGTCCGACCGCCTGACCGCGCCGCGCCTGCCCGGAGACACGGCCGTGATGACGTACGCCGGCCACGTGGTGCTGCGGACCCTGATCAGGTGCTACTTCTCCCCGGACTTCACCACGGGCCAGCGGTACATCTACTCCGGCAGCGCCACGGGAGACATCGTGGTGTACGACGTGCTGACGGGACAGGTCGCCAAACGGCTCAAGGGACACAGGTCATGCGTGCGGGACGTGTCCTGGCACCCCTACGTGCCGCGCATGCTCAGCGTGTCCTGGGACTGCACGGTGTGTAGCTGGGACTGCAGGGACACGGAAACAAACAAATAAACAAACAAGCCTTAAACAAACATCACCATGGCAACATGCAGTAAACAAAAAGGGGACTGCACGGTCTGTAGCTGGGACTGTGGGGACACGGACTCCCTAACAAACAAATAAACAAACAAGCCTTAAAAAATAAACAAACATGGGGAAGTTCAGACGCCTTACTGGATCACACCAAACTACCTCTGATTGTTTTCGTGAGGCTGATCCTGTAGTTTCAGCTGGTGCCGTTGTGATTTGAATTGCTGTGTTGTACCTACAATTAAAGTTTGAGTTTAACTTTACTCCGGAGTGTGGTGAGTTTGTGGACTTGTCATACCTTGTCATACCTCAGAGATGAGCAAGTAAAGATGTGTTGGATTCCAGGCTACATTTGTGAAATATGAACACAAAGTGGTAACCAAACTTTCCACAAATAGTTAGTCACAGAAGGGCATATATTTATACAAGCTTCCTACAATCTGTAAAGTAACATCTGCGTGTCGGTTTGTACAAACGGTGTGTGAGATTTCCTGTAAAGATTTGCTGTTTAAGTTTGTTTCCTATTCAAATTAAAGTTTCTGTTGTGTTCACAGTTTCTGTGGTGGTAGTCTTGTTTACTGTGTGTGTGTTTATTGTGTGTGTGTGTTTACTGTGTGTGTTGTGTTGTGTAGTTGCTGCTATACCAACAACCCCCAGTCACGTACAACACCCCTGCTAGACGTGCAACCTGCAATCTCCAAGTAGATCCAAGTATCAAATTGGCCCAAGGGTGGCGTATGGACACTCTGGCCAATGGATACTGCCTGGCCAATTGGATACAACCTGCAATCTCCAAGCAGATCCTAGGGTGGCACAATACTGTATCCAATTGACCAGGCAGTATCCATTGGCGAGGGTCCATACGCCACCCTTGGGCCAATTTGATACTGTGTTTTGCCACCCTAGGATCTGCCTGGAGATTATGCGACCTGTAAGTAAGAGTCTGCTTCGCATTTTTCCAGCGGCGCCTCACGAAGGCAGGTTTATTTAACATCAGGTGAACCCTTTCATTGCTCCTGTAGTCTACACTTTCTGCCCAGTTTCTTTCCGGTTAAAACAGAAAAGTTGACTGCAGCTGTACAAAACATGGCGTCAGGCTAGTTTTCCTTAAGTCACTAGAATCAAACTTGTGCTGGTAAAATCTAGTTATTTAATGATGTATGAGGTACTATTTCATGAGGAAAATTTGCTTCACTTCACAGGAAACTATGATGTTAAAAAGCAGACCTATAATGGCTATCAGCGACACAAAAGTGAATATTTAGACAGTAAATTGAGAGACCCCAGAGTGGAGTAAAGCAAATGAATCACAGAATGGGCAGGTTTGAGTGTAAAACTCTTCCCAGCTTCAACACATGGAGACTGGCATTTCTTACACCAGCTTCCCCTACAGTCAAACCACTTCATGATTAATAAAACTTACAGCACCTCCAAATGAGTTGTGTGAACTACCGTATTGCTTGGAATATAAAAAACCAGTACAAGGTTTCTCCACAGATAGTGTGTCTCTCACCCCAGTTCACCTTTAACCTGTCACCTTTAACCTGCATTGTCTCACATAAGTGTTCTACCTTGCCATAAGGCTCAGCACCATCATCAGCTCGTGATGTTTGAGTAGGAAAACTGCGACTATTTTTCTACAGGAGCAAAGTTCACCTACGGTAAAATGTACATACAGCATTTTTGGTTTCTTCCTTCCGACCTTCCACATTCTCAGCTATGTACAGTTACTAAAATAAAGGTCTCCTCTTTTTGCATATTTTTCCATAATCTTCATCTGCTTCATTTTAAATATCAAATTCCTGTCACAGAAACACTTTAAGGTGAAAAAACAGCCTACCTTCCTACAGTGACACTACAATTTACATACATGTACCTTTACTAAAACAGTCCATGGTAGAAACAAAAGTATTATATGCAATCAACACTATGCTGGCTGGCATGCTAACACATGTTGTACAAAACACTGTATGAAGTACAAAAAAATTGCTGAAATGAACTTTTCTAGAAGAAATCTAAACCCCTAAATTATGCATCTTATCCCATTCACACATATTTTGTTTGTTTTTTTTCATGCCAATTTTGATTTGCCTCGGCCAGAATATAACTGGGCCATGGTTGGAGCCAGTGTCGGCGGGCCAACACATAATTATGCCACACACCTGTGCAGATGTGCTTGTTTTAAGATTACCAAATTTCTGAAGTACTTCCATAATCTGTGTACCCATTTCCATCATCTGTTTTTTTAAGTAGGAATATAAAAACTCAAAAGAAAATTCCCCGGCTGGCTTGAGCTGTTTCAGTCCCTCTGCAGGTACTTTCCTCAGTGCCTGGCGGCTGCAAGACTCCAGACGGAACCCTACATGTTTATTCCTGCGAGTCACTGGCCTGATAAGTTAGTTATAGAACAGCTTCAAGTTACTGCAAATCAACTCAAGTATACCAGCATTTATGTACAAGATTCCGGTTGGATCTGACCTAAGAGCACATTTTCTGCAAAGTTTTTGGATGAACTTTTCTGTTACCAGTTTTAATTTGGCTGGAGCAGTAAAATATGTAGCAAAATTTGTGGCAACATTCATGAATGCCCAAATTAACCAGCAGACGACCTTAGCTGACCCCAAGATGAGAAGAGCCTGTCCTATTTTCCAGTCGGGTGCTCAATCGTTTGTTCCTAGTGCTGTGTACCTAAACCCACATTCAGGTTCAGGTCCGGATTCAAGTCCAGAGGTTCAGTTCCGAGCTCTTAAGTCCGGACCTTAGCCCATGGCATGTTGGCAACCTTGCAATGTTGTTTGAGCAAAACTTTGGCCACACAACATGGAGGCCGACACTTTACGATGGCCGCAGGCAATGTTTTCTTCATTTTGCAGCACAGATTTTGCAATCTATGGAAGTTTTAGGTGGTTTAGAAAGAAAAGGGGTATGTAACATGCTTTTTTTCTGCAATTGGTTCTTGACTTTTAAGGTTTTTTTTCTTGAAACTAAACATTTTTACAAGTCCTGAACTGGTCCAGTGAAGCGGCACACAGCACTTTTTGTTCCTGTCCTGTCGGTGTAACACTTGTGAGAGGGAAGCCGAGTTATTCACATATGTACATCGGGCTGCCCTGCGAGGTATTGTGTTGCCCCCCCTCCCCCCCGGCTAACATTACTGGCTGCAGGACTCCACACTCTTCGCCGTGCTGGGTCGCAGGGCAGAGGTCATCAGCAGGCTGTCTGTGTGCAGCCCTGACGAGATGGTTGCCATGGCAGCCCCCGTGAAGGTCACCTCGTGACCTTGCTTGCCCCCCTCCCCCCCAGGGAATATGTGGTTAGCGCGAGAGCCGGCGTGTAACCCCCCGTTTGACTCAGAGTCTGACTTGAACTTTTTCAGCGGCTGTACGTCCAGAAGGTCGTTTCCCCCAAGGTCATTGTTCAGCAGGGAGCTGAGCGCCTGGATTCCCAGCCCATCAAGGTCAAATCCACTTGCGCTGGAGGTCGCCAGGTTGGGGTCGATGACAGGAATTGTGGGAGTGCCTGCAGGTACGAACAACAAATGGGCTGCTGTAAGACTGTTCTAGTGGCAGCAAATGAACACAGAAACCTACAGAGTTATATAAAAAGAAAATAAATAAATAGAAGATAAATAAATAAATAAATATGTTTAGTAGTGAGGGGATGTAACTCGAGCCTTACCTGTGCTAAAGTGAGGGGATGTAACCCGAGCCTTACCTGTGTATAAGTGAGGGGATGTAACCCGAGCCTTACCTGTGTATAAGTGAGGGGATGTAACCCGAGCCTTACCTGTGTTAAAATGAGAGGATGTAACCCGAGCCTTACCTGTGTTGAAGTCGGCCAGCGAGGGGATGTAACTTGATCCGGAGGTTGCCATGCTGCTGAGCAGATGTTTGTGCTTGAGGCTGGGGTTAAAGTTCGGACTCGAGGCTCGAGACGAGGCCTGGGACTCGCTTTCATCCAGCAGCCTGTCCATGTAGTCCCTGGGTAAAGGTAAAAGGTTAAAGGTAAAACAAATCCCATGGCCTTTTGAGGCTGTAGGGGCAGTGGGTTGTTAATCCACTGTGTCAATGGCAGTATTGGAAGGCAGAGCCCATCCCTGTCTTATCACCGCCTTTAACTTCACCATCCGAAGTCAGGTGCCCATTTTGGGTGGAGTGAGGAAATTCCCAAGGACACAACAACAAGCCAGCAATCGACCCCACGACCTTTCGGTATTGTGTCCACTACCCCTACAACCGGGGCGTTCGATACCACAATCTACAGGTCATGCAGTACAAAACGAACAATAAAACAGAGTTGCTCCTGCAAACTTACGTGACACCGGGATGGAAGTTGTATTTCTTCTTGCCGAGCCGCGCGTGGTTCGCAAACATGTCGTGCCTTTCTGTCTTCTTCCACAGGTAATAGAAATGCACCAGGTCTCCCACCGACTTCATCGGCAACTAACAAACAAACAAAATCTGTGACACACAGGCCGATACCAAAACTGTGGACACTCGCAGGAACAATCTTGGCAGGGTGTAAGGACCCTTTTGGTGTTTTAATAATTGGGTAAATGAATTAAATTAATGTGTGAGTGAGTGAGTGAGTGTGAGTGGGTGAGTGTGAGTGAGTGAGTGGGTGAGTGTGAGTGAGTGAGAGAGAGAGTGAGTGAGTGAGTGAGTGAGTGAGTGAGTGAGTGAGTGAGTGAGTGAGTGAGTGAGAGAGAGAGAGAGTGATTGAGTAGATGAATGACAGGTGCTCACCCTGGTTTTCTGGATCATGTGGAAGTCCTTTCCGTACATCCTCAGGCCGCTTTCAAAATTCCGACAGTCTTCTTCTGACCACAAACTCTCCTCAGCTGTGGGGAGAAACAGGGACAGTTATATACATGTGTTACTAGCATGCCACAGTTATGCAGGCAGGCTGGGTTTGGCTGGGGTTAGCTACAATCCACTCGCTTGGGGTTATCCATGCCAAGCAAATCACCATGTCACATGTACACCACTGAATAACTTAACAAACTACATTATATCATGCACTACTCACTGTTACACCCTACATTACCCATCTCACACTAACTGTTTCCATGCACAGTACAAAAGCGCCACCTACAGGCGGGGCTGACCGACTGCAGCCTTTTCCTTCTCAGGGCCTCCTTAAAGTCTCCTTCACACTGCATCAACAGGAACAACGCCTGGGGGGGGAAATAAACAATAACATAAAGAAACAAACAACGCCTGGGGGGGAATAAACAACAACACTGCATCAACAGGAACAACGCCTGGGGGGAATAAACAACAACACTGCATCAACAGGAACAATGCCTGGGGGGGAATAAACAAATAACGCCTGCCAACAAAATAAACAACAGAAATGACTGTGGAGGAACAAAATTAACAAACCACTACTCATGCCTGGCATCTAAACAAGCAGCACTAAATCGTTCCTGCTCATTTTCACAAAAAGTTTCCAACAAATTTCTGTCATTCCTCCAAATAGAACCAGGATCCATTTGGGTGGAATCAGCACAGGATGACCTATGACCTGACCTGTTCCATACATGAATGACCCATGACCTGACCTGTTCGTCATCGCATACATGAATGACCCATGACCTGACCTGTTCATTGTTAAATACATGAATGACCTATGACCTGACCTGTTCGTCGTCCCGTACATGTCCGCCCGCCGGAACCGCGCCCATTCCCGCTGAGCCCGGTACGATGGAGGCGTACTCCTCAAGGTAGCCTTCCACTGGAACCAAAGCATAAACATACATCAATATACTCACACACACACACACACACCAGCACACACTCACACACACAGAGGCATACTCCTCCAGGTAGCCTTTCACTGGGAGCAGAACATAACATATATATAAATATACAAACTCACACACACACCAGCACACACATAGAGGTGTACTCTTCAAGGTAGCCTTCCACTGGAACCAGAACATAATCATACATCAATATACAAACTCACACGCACATAGAGGCATTCTCCTCCAGGTAGCCTTCCACTGGGAGCAGAACATAGCATACGTATCAAATTAACTCACTCACACATACACACTCACACACACATCAGCACACACTCACACACACACACACACTCACACACATACACACACACACTCACACTTTCCACTGGGACCAAAGCATGTATGTATCACCGTTTAGTAACCCACCTTGCTTGTCGTCGAGCCTGGTCGGGTCCCAGAGAAGCCTGTCTTCGCTGTCGTAAGGAACCGGTTTTCCCTCGTCGTAAGCAGCCAGCCCGGCCGGGACCTTAGCCTGGTAGTCTGGACCCACCTGGATATCCTGTACAAAACACACAACAACTTCAATAACCCACCTACACCTACACACACACACACACACGTACACACAACAGGGACCTTAGCCTGGTAGTCTGGACCCACCTGGATATCCTGTAAC